TCAGCTTTCCTGCTCCTCTGATGCTGCCTGGCCTGCTGTGTTCATCCAGCTCTACACCTTGTTATCTCAGACTCCAGCATCGGAAGTTCCTACTATCTCAAAGGTGTGTTGTGGTTCTGTCTGGACATTATTCATGGTTCTGTCTAGACAACCCACCAGAATACTCGAGTTCAGGTTACATTTATTTACTCAGGGTACAAAGGGAGTACCAGCTTCAGGCAGTCTAAGACACAACTCTTAAAAAGTCATAAATGTTTGCTTCTTTAGATATTTTCAAATCAAACTGTTCAGGGATATTATTACAAATCCCTGGGACTTGAACCTGGGCCTCCTGATCTTGAGGTAGGGACAGTACCACTGCACCATACTCCTTATATACACCTGCAGTCACATACATATGACATCATTCAGTTGTACAATGTACAGTTGCACGCTAAATCGACATCTGTGTCTTCAGTTCCTTGTTCCTGTGCATGCATACACTGGGTATTAATCTCGTCCATGCAGGACTTCCCTATGTTTTCTGACATTGTCTTTATTGCATCATTCTTTCTCCTGTCTAGTGAGCATCTAATCCTCTTCCTGCTTTTTATTTTTTTGCTACTTGTGTCTTATTTTCCTTACTTTTCTAACGGAAACAGTTTAATCCTTTCAAAACGATGGTCTGTAAAGCAGCTATGATGGTTGTACATAAGACACTATCCTGAGGAGCTCCTGCAGGAATGTCTTGGGACTGAGATAATTGACTCCAACAAGCACAACTATCTTTATTTGTGTTAGGTCCAAATGTGTTGTCATGCCATCTTTGATCGAACAGCTTAGTTACGCTTCTGTCTGGCAGATGCCCTTTTGGCTCGGGTATTGATGAAGGGATGGGATAGGAATGTATTCAGAAATAATAATGGAAGAATCTGGGACCTTAGCTGACTGTCTCATTTGCTGATTGCTGCTTTACTAGTCTCTAGGCATAGACGTTTCTACTGTATCTATCAATGCCACATTGTCTATGTTATTTTTAACACGTAAGTAACTTAGTTAGTTAAGATTTATTAACTTTAATGTTCTAGCCTAATCCATGACCACCAATACAATTTTCAGCATGGCAATTCATTGCTAATTTTTCCTGTGTGACAAGGCAGTTGAAGAACTGTTCAGATGAACATTTTCATTTGTCCTGATCTTCTTTCTTAAGTCTTTCACACGTGGTGTGAAACAATTTAGAAGTTACTCTATGGTCTTCCAGTGAAGCTATATTTGCAGTTCTTTAGTGTATTTTCAAGACTCTAATCTTTGTCAGTGACCATCACCAGCTCTGAATTTATGCATGCCAACATTATTATCTGCCTCTAATGGTATTCCCTCTCTTAACTGCTACAAAAATGATCACTGTAGCTGTCTATTTCTCTCTCTTGTTCTTCATAGTCTCCAGATGCACTACATCCTTCGTACATCTCTGTTAAGTTAAAATGAAAACTTTTGAACCATCCTATAACTAAAGCTTCTTTCTTTACTAAAACCTCAAAAGTGGAATTCTCAGCTTTTTCTTCCGTTATACAACCATAATGGTTTGTGTAATCAAAGTGTACCGTGCCCTATTGTGTTTAATTCACGTTTATCTCATTTTCTGCTATGCTCCGTCTGCAGTTTGAGGTATAACCTTGATTTTTAGTTGTGGTACCCCATTCTGTTATGCAGGGAGGTGTCAATTTTTTTTATTTTTCTTTAGAATAGACTGTTCAGTACTTAATTCTGCCCATCCTTGGATTTGAACATTTCTTCTATCATGACATTTGCTTTAATTTCGTTTTGTTTTACATATTACTGACTTTTGCAGTGTGCAATAACTTGTAAATTAGTTTATTTCACGTTTTTCGTAAGATGCATTGTTTCCTACATGTACATAAAGATACATTTTAAAACTCTTCATAAAGCACTTCTTTTGATTTATGAAGGTTTTTTCAGAGTTATTTTAAACTAATAACGGTGCCACTTTTTTTTTAAATTGCAGCATGGTTGATTGGCTTTCATGGCCATTAGCCCGAAACATAGACAAATGGATTATTGGCTTATTGAAAGGTTTAGCAGCTGTGAAAAAATTCAGCATTTTGATTGAAGTCACACTTGCAAAAATTGAACAGGTCAGTTTGAAGTTTTTGAGAAAATTTGTAGCTTGGGTTGTGGATGAGGTTGTAGACTTGCTCGCCGAGCTGGTGTGTTTGGTTGCAGATGTTTTGTCGCCCTGCTAGGTGAAATCGTCACTGCGCCTCCGGCGAAGCGTTGGTGTTCTGTCCAGCTTATTATTTATATGTCTCGGTTTGCTATAGCCCACAAACCAACAACCACGCTGCGACAGCTACTGATGAATGTAAAGGATCCCATACCCACAGCCAATAAAACTAACAATATACAAAATACCATGCAAGGACTGTGAAAATCATTACATAGGCCAAACTGGAAGAAAACTGACAATGAGGATACCTGAACACCAACCAGCCACCAAGAAACATGACCAATTCTCATTGGTCTCAATACACACGGACAAAGAAGGACAGCAGAACAAAGAAGGAATTCGACTGGGACAACACATCCATAATAGCACAAGCCAAACAGAGACATGCCAGGGAATTCCTGGAGGTCTGGCATTCCAACAACAAACACATTGAACTGAACCCGATATACAAACCATCGAAAAACAGAACCAGAAGTGATGCCAACCACCCCAGCAAACTGAGGCATATAAATAACAAGCGGGACAGAACACCAATGCATCACTGGAGACGCACTGACGATGTTACTTAGCAGGGTGAGGAAATGTCTGCAACCAAACACATTGTAGACTTGCTCACTGAGCCAACCTGAACAGGTCAGTCTCACCTTATTGGATTAATTTTGAAATTAGTTGAGGTAAATGACAGAATATCCATATACATATTTATTCAAAATGTTTAACTTTGGATGGAGGTTAAAGAGCCATAAAATGAAATGTCAGTACATTCTTGTAGATCAATGGTTGTTGCTACAAGTAATGATTTGACGTTGTGCTGATAGATTTTTCTTTGCTTTAATTGTCATACAAGGAGTGAATGTAACATGTAAATTGAAATGCAGCATTTAAAATAACCCTGAACATGGAATGGAACTAGGGTGCACCAGTTGTAACAAGCCACAAAGGATCAAGGGTGACTGAAAAACTGAGAAACAAATTACAAAACATTGGATTTGGGTTTTTGCAACCGTGGTTTATCAATGCAAGTTGTTTTGTATGTCTTTAGACCATCCACAGATATATATTTCATATTTCCAGGTGTTCTCCAGATTATTTTATCCAATTGTAAGAGCAGGAGCTCTTGAAGTATTGAAATACATGCTGCTTAGTTTCCAACATTCACCAGAAGCTTTCCACATTGTAAGTATGACGCTTCCTCTGGAAAGGGGAAAGGGTAGGCAGAATGAAAATAGTTTTCACCATTAACTAGAACTTTTGAATCAGCACTATAAACATCATGGTGATTTTAAGATTGTATAAGCATTAATAGAACCATTTTGACAGATACAGTAAGTCATCCGAGTTGCAGTTGTGCCTTTGAAAATGGGAATTTTAACTGAAATGGCTTTAAGTGAATCATAATGGAATCCATGTTAAAGCCACACTTGGGATTTTCTGACCTGATCTTGTAACAACTGCATTTATATGGTGAGTCCAGTTGAGTTTCTGATTAGTGGTAACCCCCAGGATATTGATTGTGGGGAATTCAGTAATGGTAACACCATTGAATGTCAAGGTGGTGGTTAGATTGTCCCTTATTGGAGATGGTCATTGCCTAACATTTGTGTGGTATGTTTTTACATGCTACTTGTCAGCCCAAGCCTGGATATTGTCCACATCTTGTTACATTTGAACATGCGCTAGTTACATTTGAACAGATTGCAGTGCTACAAAAACTACAGTTTTATCCCCCATTGTAACCTCATTTTGAGGCTTGAAAGTTGTGACAGCTCCTCTGAGTACTGAGCGAGATTGGTGATAGGGAGAGCCATGAAAGTAAAGGCCTACTGAAATGAAAGCAGAGCTGTTAGAATGCTTGTCAGAGCTCCACTGTGACCATTGCTGTCTTTGAGCTTGTGATCCTGAATTTAAGCTTACAAGCTTGGGATCCTGAACCCGACTTTGGAAAGCTCTACAGTACAGTAAATGTAAATAAATGTTAAAAAAAAATACACAAGCCTATCTTCAGATTGACGGAGTGAGTTCTATGCAGTGGTAGAAGGTGATTGTGCAGATAGCAGCTGAATAAATCCCAGGGTTTCAATGCAAGATTAGAGCACAAAGCAAAGGGATGAGAAGAGGGGCGGCTAAACATTCTGTGGCAAACCATGTTGGAGGGAACACTGCAATGTTAGATTGATATATTGTCTCTGTCATGAATGACACATAAAACAGAAGAAAAAAAGTTAACTTTGGTAAGCAGAGACTTAGAATCCTAGAGTCATACAGCACAGAAGCAGACCTTTTGGTCCAACTCGTCTATGCTGACCAAGTTTTCCAAACTAAACTAGTCCCATATGCCTGCATTTGTTCCATATCCCTCTAAACCTTTTCTATTCATGTACCTGCCCAAATGTCTTTTAAATTTTGTAACTATACCTGCATCTATCACCATCTGTGTGAAAGATCCTGACCTCAGATCCCTTTTAAATCTTTCTCCTCTCCCCTTCAAAATATGGCCTCTAGTTTTGAACTCCCCACCCTTGCTGTAAGGTTTGGCACTAAAACTGAATCACTTGCTGGGGGAAGAAAATGTCCTTTTATAGTAATTCAAAATAGTTTCTGGGCACTACTTTGAAGGGCACCCCTCCTTCCCTTATACACAGACACACACGTGCTTGTGCCAAAAAAAAATTGAATACTGGGAATGGTTTTAGATCACCAAGTGTTGTAGGTACAAATTTGCCTCGTCCACAAAGAATGGAAGAGAGTAGATGAAAAGAAGCGGTGAAGTATGCTGCAAGGTGTATTATCAGCTGTTTACTGCAAATATGACCTATATTTTCACAGGTTAATTTATTTTCCTGTAACAGTGACATAAAAGAATATTAAATACATTTAATGAGTATTAAAAGGCTTATCATCGATCAAAAATTCCTGCTGAAATAAGAGATCTTTAACATAAATAGTAACCTCTGGCACGAGTTTCCACTTTCGCAGTAATTGAAGTTATTGAATTGTGGGTGTTACTGGCTAGACCAGAAGAACAACCTGGTTGTTCCCTATCCCTTATTGCCCTTGAAACACTGCTTTTACCTCCTTTTTGAGAAGCAGAATCTTGGAATACAGGTATTCAGAGAGAGATTCTTGTTGAGCAAGAGGGTGAAAGCTTATTGGAGGCAGGAATGTGGAGTAATCAGTTCAATCATGGATCTCATTGAGTCCGACAAGTCAGAGCTTCCAGATGGCTTATTCGTGATCCTAGTTCCCAGTGTTAAATATTCACACTCTCCAGCACTAATGCACAGTGCAGCATTGGTATACAAGGTATACTGTTGCAATTCACCAAGGTTTGTTCAGCAACACCTTCCAAACCCACAACCTCTGCTACCGGGAAGGACAAGGACAAGTACAAGGGCACGTGAGGTTTGGAACATTGCCCTCCTGCAAGATTTCCTTCAGGTGACACACCATTCCGACCTCACAGTATTTCACCATTTCTTCAATTTTGCTGGGTTGAAATCCTGAAACTTCCTAATATAGCTGTTGGTGTATCTACAATAAATGCATGGCAGTGTTCAATAAGCAGCTAGTTATCTTTCCAAGAGCAATTGGGTATGCGGTCCAAATGCTGGCTTTACTAGGGACATACACATTTGTGAAATAATAAGACTAGTAGGATTTTATGTATGATTACTGGTTAAAAATGACAAGTAGCTGCTATATCTCATTCCTGGGTCAGCAGTTGTGATTCCTGGCTATCTGTGCTGCTGTGAACTTCTGACAGTCATCCTGAGCCTTTTAACTTTAGGCAGGTGGCTTCTCTACTGTGAGATACATGTGCATAGCTTTCCTTAGCTTTTGTCAGCACTTGTTTAACAGTAACCTGCTGACTGATGCTCAGTTTGGGTTTGCAAGGGCCAGTCAGAACCTGACCTCATTACAGCCTTAGTTCAAACATTCACACAAGAACTAAATTACAGATCTAAGGTGAGAGTCACTGCCCTTGGCATCAAGGAATCCCTGCAAAACTGGAGGGAATCGGAGAAAGCTGTTTGCTGATTGGAGTCATACCTGGTACAAAGAAGATAATTGTGGTTGTTAAAGGTCCGACATCTTGGCTCCAGGGCATCTCTGAAGGAGTTCCTCAGGGTAGTGTCCCAGGCCCAAACATCTTCAGCTGCTTCATCAATGATCTTCCCTCCATCATCAGGCCAGAAGTGGGCACAATGGCACATTTTTAGCACTACTCGCGACGTCTCAGATACTGATGCGGTCCATGACCAAATGCAACATGACTTGGTTAATATTCAGGTTTGGGCAAACGAGTGGCAGATAATACTTGTGTCACACAAATGACAGTTCCCAACCAGAGAGAATCTGGCTATCACTCTTTAACATTCAGTAGCATAACCATCACTGAATTCCCCATTTAACAAAGTGGGGCTGACCATTGAGGAATAACTGAACTGGCATGTCCATATAAATACTGTAGCTACAACAGTGGGTCAAAGACCGAGTCTTGCAGCAAATAATTCACCTCCTGACTTCCCAAGGCCTATTCATCATCTACAAGGCAAATGACAGGAGTGCGAGATGGTCTTACCTCTACTTAACCTCGATGCGTGCAGCTCCAACAACATTCAAGAAGGTTAACATCATCTAGGACAAAACAGCTCACTTGATTGGCACCACATTCACAAACTTTCACTTCCTCACCATTGATGCTCAGTAGCATCAAAGCGTGCCATCTACAAGATGCACTTCAAAAATTCACCAAGACTCCTTAGACAGCACCTTCCCCACCCATGACTACAACAATCCAGAAAGGCAAGGGCAGCAAATATGTGGGAATGTCACCTGCAAATTCCCCTCCAAGCCATTCACCATCCTCACTTGGGAATGTATTGCCATTCCTTCAGTGTCACCTGGGTCAAAATCCTGTAACTCCCTCCCTAATGGCATTGTGAGTCTACCTAAGTGGTTTGCAGCAGTTCTAGAAGGCAGCTCACCACTATTTTCTCAAAGGCAACAAGTGATGGACAATAAATACTGTTTCTTTGGTCTAAGAAGAGAGCATAAATATAGAGCGAACACCACTGTTGTGAAGTTAACATCCATGAATTAATTTTATGGACTGTAAGCTTCTGGTATTGGAGTCTTGCCTGCTTAGAAGCTGATAATTTGCAGATACTACACTTGCCACACATGCCTTCCTTTTTGTGTACCTCCTTGTGTGTTCAGAAATTACAGGTGCATCTGCCATAATTCTTCAACTGTTAACCTTTAACTGTATAGAAGATTTTAGGAAGTGTGCGTATAATATGCTATTGGAGTCCAGGAAACTGCTTTAATAAAATTAGCCATGTTATTTCATTTTTACTTATTGATGTAATTTACCAGCTAGACTTATGGAAGCTGTCGGTGGGCTGAGTTGTATGATGAGTGTAGGTGATTCTGTCATGTAAATACTGGTCTTAGTTCTTACTGAAATGAGTTGTAGACATATGAACATACAGATTTGAAGGAGGAATAGGTCAGTGGGCCCTTTGAGCCTGCTCCACAATTCAATAGGATCATGGTTGATCTGATTACACCACATTCCCACTTACCCTTGATGACCATTCTCCCCCTTGTTTATCAACCAACAACTTCCTGGTGTGTATTGTGGACCAAATGGACTGTTAATTTATTGAAATAGTTTTGCAATATCAAGTATTTTGTTTATCTATGGCTTAAAGTATAACTTGCAGTAATTCATAGCATGTTATTCCACAGCTTGTCTCTGACATTCCCAAATTAGTTTTGTCACTGTCTAAAGAGGGATCTAACTCTGGTACATGCTGTCTTCAACAATTATCTGAATTGGTGCACTGCATGATCTTCCGGTTTTCGGGCTTTCCTGACCTATATGAACCTGTCATAGAGGTACTAAAGGTAAATGGTAAGATTTTTAACAATTCACTGTTGTTGAATAACGCTGTCAAATAGTATTATCAATGACTTTTTTCAAGCATGTTAAGTTAAAAATACTGAAAGATAAAAGCAAAATAGTGCATGTTGGAAATCTGAAACAGAAATTAGAAACTTCTGGAATTATTCGGCAGGTCAATCAGAGTCAGTAGAGAAAGGAACAGAATTAATGTTTCCAGTCTGTGACATTTCATAAGAGGTACTTTTGAAATAAAAATATTTAATACAATGAAATATTTTAGGAATGCATTTATTTAAATCTTTAAGGTTTCTTTACTCTGACAGGCATAATACTGGTCAATATGCCACAGTTAAAATGTACCTTGATTAATGGCTCATCAGTCTCCCTGTCCAAGAAATTAGTTAATTACAGGAAGTTGCATCTGCTGTCTAAGCCAGCAGAATGCATGAGTTTACTATATTCAAGGATCTAATTTCCTCCTTGTGCCTGTCTTCTAGTACCCTTGACTTGTTGTAGTTCAAAAATCTTCCCATTTCATCTTTTAATATAATCATTGACCCAGCCTCCATTTCTTTCTGAGAAAGAGAATTCCAAAGAATAATGAAATTCTGAGAATAGGAATTCATCCTTGTCTCTGTCTTAACTGAAAGGCTCCTTTGTTTTTAAACTGGACCCCTAGCTCGAGATCCACCAACACTCCTCCCACAACAAAAGAAATGCATTATCATAATATGTACCCTATTAACTCTTCTACCCTAACACTACCACCTCCACCACCCCTTTGCCCCGTCCTGCTTCCCAGAACCTTATTTGTTTCAATAAGACCACCTCTCATGCTTCTCAGCTACAATTAGTATAGGCCCAAGGTATTCAACCTTTACTTCTGTAAAGTAATGCTCTTTATTCCAGGAATCAGCCAAATTAATTTCAACTGAACTGCTTCCAATGCACGTATGTCCCTCCTTAAGTAAGGAGGCAAAAACTGTGTGCAGCATTTTAGATGCGGTTTCACCAATGCCTTCACAAATGAATAAAACCAAGAACTGCAGATGCTGGAAATCTGAAACAAAAGACAAATTGCTGGAGAAACTTAGCAGGTCTGGTAGCGTTTGTGGAGAGAAAGCAGAGTCCAGTGACCATTCCTCAGAGCTGTTATGTTTTGTCTTTCTGTTCTTTTATGTGTTTTCTATCCCTGTTTCGTTCTTCTTTGTTCCAATACGTGCCATGTTCTGTTTCTCCTCAGTCCCAGATTTGAGTATTGCCAGGGAAGTTGTACCAAATTTATCCAATTTTACTCCTATCTCATTGTCTTTTGTTGCTGGACAGGATTGCAGCTAAATATTTTCTTAAGTATTGGTTCTCCTGTTGCAAATTTTGTTTTTAAACAAGGAGGGTTTGACTTTGTCTCCATCTCTGGAGTAAGCTATCATCGTTTTGGATAGCAGTCTCAATGAGATTTATTTTGTTTCATTACCAGATAAGTACTAAGAATCTATAGTTTTATTGAAAGTGGAGTACTACAAAAAATTGCCTTGAATAAAATGATAATATAATTTTGTGGATCCCTTTAATGTAACAGGATAAAATGTATGCCTCTGTTTTAGGACTTTCCAATTCCAAATGAGGAGAAAATAAAGTACCTGCTCAATCAAAATGCCTGGACATCACAGAAAAATGCACTGGGACCTTTGTATCCAAGACTTACCACCAAATCAGAGACGGGAAGGGTAGGGCTGGCCAACCTTGGCAATACCTGCTATATGAACAGTGTTATTCAGGCTCTCTTCATGGCTTCTGAGTAGGTATCTGAAGCACCTGAGATATTAATAACTTTGACTTTGAATGTTGCTTTTATTGATGACCATTCATCTGCTTCAGCTGTGTAAATTACATGTATAGATGTGTAAGGAATTTTGAGTGTTAGGCCATATGTGGAAAGCAATCCTGTACATTAACAGGTTTCTGTCATGCCACCTGCAACAGCCTTCAATTTAGAAGTTGAAATAATCTGGACACAATGATTTGCACTTCAGTGCTATCTGGTTGCAGATTACAGTTTCTGAAAGGGATATATGTTTTAAATGAGGCAGGTCATGGTCTGCTTCCTTTTCCACCATACCTGAGCCCTAAATTAAATGACTCAGTAAAGCACTTGAAAACTAGCTCCTAAGTGGTGGTAAGTGAACCTGCTCTGGGACTTGAACTTTTATCTGTTTGGACTGATACATAAACGTGTCTCTTTGTGCTTTTTATAGCCATTCATTTATTTCTAAGCTGCTGTTGTTGTAGTGTGGGGAAACATGGCAAACAATTTGTGTATAAGGTTTGAAAATCAGTAATCAAATGATGACCTAAAAGTGGAAACTGTCACGTTTGTTAAGGTAAAATTTATTTTTTGCCATTGAAGGGAGAGCTCTTTTAATGTACATTTCAGCAAATGCCACCAAGCAATCGCCGTGCTGCAGTGTACAGCTTAGCAGATGGGTCTTTTTTTTTTAAAATCCAAAAAATAGTTTGTTATAGCATCCTTACGGTGTTTGAACAATATACTGCTATCCTCCTTTATGTCTACATAATCATGATTGGAATTCGGAATTAATTGGTTGTTTATGAAGAAATAAGGCATTACATAAAATATTTTTCAGAAATTATTTCATCATTTTTGTTTTCTCTCTCACTAGGTTAAAACTCCATTTGTAAGAAAGCTATTCAAATTGAGTAATTTTCTAACTACTGCAAGTTATGCAGCATAAATATATGTATAGAGAAAGAGACAGATTTGTTTATATTATTACAGTTTGCTTCTCCAACATTTACCCCTCTGAGGTCATGAACTGTTTGGGTGGAGTTGATCAACTTCTTAAGACTATTTACTGACACAAAAAAACAAGTCATTCTGACTGGCTGACTAGAAGGACAAAGAACGATGCAAGCTTGCCATCTGCTTTAGCGTCAAACAATGACCATGGAGGGGGAAGGAATTAGTGGTGAGGATCTAGAGTTTGTGGTAGGACGCTGGAGACCACGGTTTTGGTCTTTCTGGTATCAAACTAGAGGAAGAAATTTCTCATCCAAGACTGGAGACAGACCAGCATTTTGAATCATGAACAGCAGATGGTTTACTGAGATAGTGCTGAACTAGAGCTGTGTCATGACTGTATGCACACAAACTTTGTGTGATGTTGCCAAGGGGTAGCATTTGGCGAGGAGGCAAAAAATAATTTTGGGATCTCCATATATAATGGGTAAGAAAAAAAGTCATTACTTTGCTTAGTGTAGCTGTGATTGGATAGAAATGAATGAAACCAAGCAAGAGCTGAGATAGTCAATAGAAGCATTGCAGAAGAATGGTGTGGCGTGATTGGTTAGAGAAAGAGGGAGATCATGTGTCATAATCACTCAAATATCACTTGTTACTTTGGTAGGGCAATATGTGTATTGTAGAAGGGTAGAATCCTGTTTGAAGAGATTTGTATGTTGTTAAAGTCAACATGAACATGAGCATTGAGTAGAGGGGGTACCGACACAATGAGAAACTTTTGAGAGGAGGGAAAAGTTAGAATGTACAGCAGCAGTTTGTACCAGTAGCGAGATTGGGTTCATGGTATGGGTTTTTTTTAAAGGAAAGTTAATTATTTACAATGTCTGAAAATTTCAGGGTCAGGAAGGAACGTTAAGTCTTCCTCAGTTTAGTAAGAATAGGATTAAGAGTGCAGGAGATCGGTCTCTAGGAAGGCATAAAAGAAAACGAGAAATATTAGTTTAGCCTTGGATAGTACAGAGTATATGGTGGGAGAGGTTAAAAGGTTGATTAAAACAGGAGTGAGGACAACGTGAATTGAGATGGTAATAGAAAACAGTGAGAATGAGATGTTATTTCAGCTCATAGGATGAATGGAGGAGAGGAAGAAGGAGATCTTTGGTTGGGACTTGGGTGGTCGTAGAAATTGAGAGGGAGTGCAGTAGTCCAAGATGAGATGTCCAAAGGAAATCAAGCTGCCGGAAGAGGGCTGACGGAGGAAATCAGGCTAATTTTGGTGATTATTCATAGAAGCATGAAATGATCAGTGCTTTGACATGCAGCGAGATCTGGTTGTACTATTGTATGAATTCCAAAACATTAGTATGTAGGTACAGCTAGTAAATAGAAAAGCTAATAGAATGGTATCACTTCTTTCAAGCATAATTGAATACAAAAGTTCAGAGGTTATGTTTCAGTTGCACAGGTCATGAGTGAGACCTGATCTGGAGTACTGTTCTGTTGGTCACCTTATTTAAGAAAGAATGTAAATGCGTTGGAAGCAATTCAGAGAAGGTTTACGAGACTAATACCTGGAATCGGCTAGGTATCTTGTGAGGCAAGGTTGGTTAGGCTAAGTTTGTGTTGACTGGAGTTTAGAAGAGCAAGAGGCAATTTCATCGAAACAGAAGATTCTTAGAGGTCTTGACAGGCTGGATGTGGAGAGAATGTTTTCGATGGTGGGATAATCTCAAACAAGGGGTCATTGTTTAAAAATAATGAGTCATCCATTAAAACTGATGAGACAAAAAAAAGGGTCGTTGGCCTTTGGAACACTCTTCATGAATAGTTTTTAAATTTTTAAGGCAGAACTAGAAAGACTCTTGGTAACCAAGAGAGTAAAAGGGCATTGGGGATAGCCATGAATGTGGATTTGTGGCTCGAGGGGTCAAATGGCCTACTCCTGTTCAGTATTCATGCAGTCACAGCACAGAAGGGTGCCATTTAGCTTGAAGTATCTGTGCCAGTTCTACACAAGGTAAATTCGCCCCTTGCCACTTTGCGTAATCCTGCAATTCATTCTCTTCTTGGGGTAATGATCCAATTCTCTTTTGAAAGCCACAGTCGAAACTTCCTCAATCACTCTTCTCAGGCAATATCCACTCACTATGTAAAAATTGTCATTACTGTTTCTTTGTGAATCACATTACGATACTGTCCTCTGGCTCTCAATTCTTTCAACAGTGGGAACAGTTTCTCATCACTTATTCTGTCCATGCTCCTTATGGTTGTGTATGCCTCCAACAAATCTCTCAATTTTCTCTCTTCCAAGAAGTAGCCTGAGTTTCTCCAATCTATGTATAACTGAAGTTTCTTATGCCTAGAATTATACTTCTGAATCTTTTCTGCATCTTCTTTAATGTCATTAATTTCTTCCTAAAGTGGACCACCTAGAGCTGTGCAGTACTCCAGTTGAGGCTAAACCTGTATTTCATTGAAGTTTATCTTGACTTCTTATTTTCTGGCCCCAACCATCTCTTTACCATGGATGGTCCAATATTTCTGTCTGCATACTCACTAATTCTGACGGCGCTCTATTTCTTTTTAGAAAAGTAAACCAATCAGTTTCTATATGCTACAACACACTTCCATCTGCCTGAACTTGTTATAGAGTCCTACAGCATGGAAGCAGACCCTTGCGTCCAATCGGTCCATGCCGAACATAATCTCAAACTAAGTTCATCCCACCTGCTCCTTTAACACCCTTTTGTTGGTTTTCTTTTTGATTTAGTTGCTAATCTGTTCTCTATCTTTGGTTCTCGTATTTTTGTTTCACTTCACCTCTGAACCATCTACCATGGATGTCAATGTATAAGTCAGCCTGTGAAGCCTCCAAAGAAGTTGTTTGATAAATGGGATTGACTTATACATGACATATAAAGCAAGAATTGATAGTGTGGGTGGCAACCATTTTGAAATGTAAAAAAAAGTAACATTACCAGTAACTCATATAACTTAGTGTTCCTACTCAACAAACGATCTTTCAATCTACCTATTCCATCTGCCATGAGCGTGATCCTTGATGAGACATGTATCCAAAGCCTGAGCTATAGACTTTAGACCGAGAAAGCACCCAAGATGCAAATGAATGAAAAAGTTATTGTAAAAAAGCCTATTTTTCATTCAGCACGCAAGAAGGGGAAAATAGTTTTCCCCAGCTCAGGGTAACTAATTAGTGAACATGCCTTCTGCCATCAGCATGCTTGTTAGCCTTCAAACCAAGTTTTTGCATAACTATAATGCGGGTGGTATTTCATCATAGGCATTCCGTTAGTTATATGGATCTGAACACATCCCACATTAACAAGTTGCATTCTTCATGTAGGCCACCTGTTTCACACGCTGTCCATCCATAACTTCTTTTTATCTTCATCCATCCAACCATTGTAGTTGAAATTGCTGCAGGGAATTTAATTTTGGGTATGGTTTTATTTATGGAAATTGCAATGGGTTTTAATTTCATTCTTTTGGCTGTGTAGGCTAGTACCATTATGAATGTTAGCTTCTCATGTCTTGTGACTCACTAGAACTGTTTGTGAACTTACCTTTCCACAGTTCTGTTGCTGGGCATGTCGGAACTCATGGGCATTTCATCCATGTTGCCTTATGATGTTATTGTGTTATTTTACAATTATTTGAATGTTAACAAAAGTTTTCAAAAAATGCCTTTGTACAGATGTGTTTCAGCAGCCTGAGGAATGTCAGGTTCCTTTGTTATTTCTTCTTGCCCCATTTGGCCACCTTATTATTGAACAGAAACAAAAGCAGAAATTGCTAGAAAAGGTCAACAGGTCTGACAGCATCTGTGGAGAGAAATCTTCAGTTCTGTTCTTGTTTCTGATTCCAGCATCTGCAGTTCCTTAGGTTTGTTGTTATTTAACAGTCCCTTCATAAAGTGGTCAGATTTGATAACCTGCTGCACTCTTCTCTAAAGCTCAATGCTGAACAAAATCTTTCAAGTTTTGAAACTCATTCAAACAATTAAGCTCAAACATGTG